TTTGTGTGTGTGTTTGGTTTGTTTCTTTTTGTTGTGGTGGTGGTAAGTGGGGGGGGTGCACATTTATACATGTACTTAAGTGTATAAGGACATAGGTAGAGGAGACACCCAATTATTCATGTTGATCGCCTCAGAGAAGTGGGATGGAAAGGTGGGAAGAGCAGGGAAAAGAACTGTACTTTGGAAAAAGTTAAAATGCCTATAGAGACGTAAATACATACTTTCTCTTTACAAATCTTTATATAATCTAGACCCCCCTCCCTTTTTTTTTTTTTTTTTTTTTTAGATGGACTTTAGCTCTGTCACCCAGGCTGGAGTGCAGTGGCACAATCCCAGTTCACTGCAACCTCTTTGGTTGTGATTCAAGCCATTCTCCTGCCTCAGCCTCCCAAGTAGATGGGACTACAGGCGCATGCCTCCACACCTGGCTGAATTTTTGTATTTTAGTAGAGACAGGGTTTCACCGTGTTGCCAAAGCTGGTTGTGAACTCCTGAGATCAGGTAATCCACCCGCCTTGGCTTCCCAAAGTGCTGGAATCACAGGTGTGAGCCACTGCGCCTAGCCAATTTAGCTCCCTTTTAAAATTAAAAATGGGCTGGGCATAGTAGCTCACACCTGTGATCCTAACACTGTGGGAGACTGAGGTGGGAGGATCCCTTGAGCCCAGGAGTTCGGGACCAACCTGGGCAACATAGTGAGATCTCCCATCTCTACCAAAAACAAAAACAAAAACAAAAGCTAGGTATGGCAGTATGCCTGGTTCCCAGCTACTAGGGAGGCTGAGGCAAGAGAACCCTTTAGCCCAGCCCAGGAATTCAAGAATGCAGTGAACTGTGATCACACGACTGCACTCCAGCCTTAGCAACAGAGTGAGATACTATCTCAAATAAATAAATAAATAAATAAATAAATAAATAAAGCAGTCTAAATATGGGTCCACTATCCAGAATATACACATTAAAAAAACTTACAACTCATCAACAAAAAGACAACCCCAATTTAAAAATGAGCAAAGAACTTAAACAGCCAAAGAACTGTAAATTGCCAACAAGCACATGAAAAGCTGCTCAAAAGCATCAGTCGTCAGGGAAATGTTAATCAAAACCACAATGAGATGCTACATCATACTCACTAGGAAGGCTACATTTAAAAAAAAAAAAAAAAAGGAAAAACAAATGTTGGTGAGGATACGGGGAAACTGGAACCCTCATTAAGCACAGAATTACCACATAACCCAGCAGATCTACTCGTAGGTATTATACCCAAAGAACAGAAAACAGGCACTCAAACAAATGCATGTACACACATGTTCACAGCGGCATTCATTCATAACAGCCAAAAGGTAGAAACAATTCAAACGTTCATCAACTGATGAATTGATAAACCATTGTGATACAGCCATACAATTGAGTATGATTTAGCCATAAAAACGAATGAATAACACGGTGAAACCCCGTCTCTACTAAAAATACAAAAAATTAGCCGGGTGCGGTTGTGGGGGCCTGTAGTCCCAGCTACACGGGAGGCTGAGGCAGGAGAATGGCGTGAACCCGGGAGGCGGAGCTTCCAGTGAGCCGAGATTGGGCCACTGCACTCCAAACTGGGCGACAGAGCGAGACTCTGTCTTAAAAAAAAAAAAACGAAGTACTGATAGGTGCTCCAAGGTGGATGAAGCTCAGAAACATGCTAAATGAAGGAAGCCAGACACAAAAGGTCACGTGTATGATTCCATTTATATGAAATGTCCAGAATAGGTAAACCCATACAGACAGAAAGCGGACTGGTGGTTGCCAAGACCTGGGAGGGAGGGGGAAATGGGCCGTAAGTGCTTCACGGAGTTGGCTGTCCTTCGGAGTGATCGAAATATTTTGGAAATAGCAGAATAGTGCTTGCATAACATTGTAAATTTACTAAACGCCACTGAATTGTTCACCTTAAAACGGTCCATATTACATTACGTGAATTTCACTTTAATTACAAAAAGAAAGAGAAACGCTAGCGTTTACGCAGGCAGAGGGCAGGATGGGGACGCTCCTCCCGGGCGGCCTCGTTGCTGGCAGCGCTTCCGCCCGCCGGCGCCCCAGTCAGTACGGCGCCCGGCGAATCTGGAGGGCGAAGCTGCGGTGGAGCAATCACAATAGGACTGTCAGAGAGGAGGCGAGCCGGAAGGAAGATGGAAAGGCGGGTGGGAGCCTCATCTCTGGACTCCACCGCCGCAGCCCGGTCAAGCCGCTCCGCCCAGGCTCAAATCGGACTCCTAACTCCGCTGGGTGCCTGAGACGACGCGGCAGGCGGAGGGGTGGTAATGAGGGGACGGGGACGCGGCGGGCGGGTGGGGCAGCCTCCCGGCTGGGCACGCCTCCACGCCAGACTTGACACGAAGGAAACCGGAACCTCTCTGCCGGGGGTGCCAGTTTCCGGAAGCAGCTTGAGTCTGGACGCCAACGTCGGCGACGCTGGGAAACAGACTTCCGGCGCCATATAGTTTCACCAGGTATCTGCGGCGAGCTAGCGGCGGCGGCGGCGGCAATGAGACAGAAGCACTACCTTGAGGCTGCAGCGCGGGGACTGCACGACAGCTGCCCGGGCCAAGCCCGCTATCTCCTGTAAGAGGACTGGAGAGGAAGCGGGAGGCGAGCGGGGAGGTGTTCCTTTGCTCCTCACAAGTCTGTTTCTCTTTTACAGCTGGGCCTACACTTCGTCGCACGGTAGGAAGAACGCCTGTCTCTTAGTGCGTTGGGCTCCTGCCCCGCTTTCCTCCGTTCTGCACAACGCTCAAATAAGGACGATGGACTCTCTCCCCTCCTTAAAAACTACAACAAAACAAAACCCGCATGTTTCTGCGTTTCGTGAAAAATCCAGATTCCTTAATGTGCCTGCTTGCTTTTGTTAGCGGCATTTGAGACACTGATCAGTCTTGAAATAGTTTCCTGCCTTGGCTTCTAGGTCATTACGTAGTTCACCTCCTCTTTATTTATTACTTCTCGATTTGCTTTGCTGGTTCCTCCTAATCTCCCCAAGCTTTAAGTATTGTCGTATCCCAGTACTCAGCCCTTGGACCTCCTTTCTAGGTACACTCACTTCTTTGGTGACAGTTTTTCATCCAATCTCATGGCTTTTAAATACCATATACCGAGGACTTACAAATGTATATACTCAGCGCAGACCTCTCCTCTTAATTCTAGACTCATATATCCAAATGTCGTGACATTCTTTTCAGTGTCTAGTAATTCAAACTTAGCTAATATGTCCAAAACCTGAGCTTTACCCCCCAACAAGATCCTCCAGTTTTTCTCATTTCAGTAAATAATTCCATCCTTCCCTTACAGTTATTGAGCCCCAAAACCTTGGAGCCATTCTTGACTCCCAAACTCTCTTTCTTCCCCCAAGCCAGTATGCGAGCAAATCCTGTTGGCTTTAAAATGTATCCAGAATCAGCCAGGAGCGGTGGCTCACACCTGTAATCCCAGCACTCTGGGAGGCCGAGGTGGGTGGATTTGAGGCCAGGAGTTCGAGACCAACATGGCGAAACCCCGTCTCTACTAAAAATACAAAAAAATTACCCGGCGTGGTGGTGCACGCCTGTAATCCCAGCTGCTCGGGAGGGTGAGGCATGAGACTCTCTTGAACCTGGGAGGTGGAGGTTGCAGTGAGCAGAGGTGGCGCCAATGCACTCTTCCTCACCACATCCATTGCTACTACCCTGCTCCAGCCTATCACCAGCTCTCTCCTGGATTATTGCTAACAGCTCCCATGCGTTTCTAGTGTGTTCTCAAGCCAGCAGCATGAGTGATTCTGATAAAAACCAAAGCTAGATCATGTCACTTCTCTGCCACAAACTCAAATGGCTTCCCATCTCCCAGTAAAAGTGAAAGTCCTTTAAAAGGATTGTAAGGCCCTACATCATAGGCCCGCATACCTCTCTGACGTCCTCTCTCTTTCCTTCACACAACTCCAGTCACACTAGGCATCCTTGCTTTTCTGTTTCAGGGCGTTTGCAGCTACTCCTCACTCTGCCTGGGATTCTTGCCTCACATATCTGCTATCATGCTAATCCTCCGTTTCCATCTGGTCTCTATGATATCACTCAATGAAGCTTTCCCTAGCCACCTATTTAAAATTACAGTTAACTCCATCAACACTTCTATTCCCCTTTCGTATCTGCTTTTTTATTCCCAGCACTTAACATTTGATGTTGCTATATTTATTGTATGTCTCAGTGAATTGTCCTTTGTTCACTGCTGTGTCTCCAGCACTCAGAACAGTGCCTGGCATTCTTAATTGTCACTTAGTAAATATGAATGAATTTCACATTTGGCGGAGCTAAATTTAAGTGTGGTCTTTAGCTTCATAAGTGCTGCTATATCCCTGGCACTTAGCACAGTGCTCAATGGTAGATACTATTCATTGTGCTAATTATTTAAAAAAAGAAACAAAATCGCAGTGCAATTTGTTATTTTGTGGTAAATGCACTGGTAAAATTGGTGAAACATAACAGCCTTTTAAAACTTAGTAGCAAGTAATGAGAAGTGGCTAGATTTTGGATATATTTTAAAGCCTACAGGATTTGCTAGCATAGGTTGGAGATTTGCCTGTCTGTTGCTGAAAGGAGTGAATGGATGGAATTATATTTGCAAAGTAAATTACTGCCAATTTGTCTTTTTGTAAATGTTTATATTTTGAGTTTACTTAAAAATGTATATCTGCTTATATTAAATATCAATATACTTTTTATAGTGTTGGCAGTTTGAGGTAACAAAACATTCTAATTTGCTGAATTGTGAGTTTCATTTGTATAATTTTAGATGATAAGAGCACTTTTGAAGAAACGTGTCCATACTGTTTCCAGTTGTTGGTTCTGGATAACTCTCGAGTGCGTCTCAAACCCAAAGCCAAGTTGACACCCAAAATACAGAAACTTCTTAATCGAGAAGCGAGAAACTATACACTCAGTTTTAAAGAAGCGAAAATTGTGAAAAAGTTCAAAGATTCCAAAAGTGTATTGGTAAGATTTCAGTCCAGTATGTATGAGTAAACTAGAATTTTCTTTTCTTTCACTTAAAATCAGTTTAAGAATCAACCTCGATATAACTCAGATTTATAGTAGTATATTTGGATTATCAAAATATATACATAAACTATTTCTCTAATGATTAGTGTTTCATTATAAGGACAGCTTATTTTTATTTTTCATGATTACCTAAACCAAACATGGTGAGCTCTCAGTTGTTTTGAGATCCCATTGTTGAGCATTATTTTTCACAAACGTGCAGATTTCTTGAACTGACCATTATGACTCCACCTAGATTGCGGTTACCACTACATTATTTTTTCAGTTAATGGTCCTTTGCTTCAAATAGTAGTATGTTATGTATGTAGGTATCATGCCACTTCTTCAGCTGTCCTCCCACTCCATATCAGTGTGTATTTACAGGTATGCCCAACAAAGGTGAATGCGCCTTTTGTTCTTTAAACATTTTATTGAGGGTCTATCATATGCCAAGCAACATTTAATATTGGGGATATAAGATGAAATAAAACAACCAAAATCAGATTACGTATGGTTTACCATACGGAGGCCAGTAGCAAATACACTTTATATCCTGCATATTCTATGTTAACATTTATCAACTGTTCAAGTATGTGCTTATTGTCCAGCACTGTGCCAGGCACTGGACATTATGACAGCTTATGTCTGGCCTAAGACTATAATTAGTAATTACTTGGATTGAAAATTGCCATATTTAGGAGTTTACTAGTGTTGGTCACGTAGGTACATTTTGCTTTGTCATAAAATTGAATGGTTAAAGGGAAAGAAAGAAGAGATAGAATATTGAAGTGAGTATAGAATTCAGTTTCTTAGTTCTTGGAGAATTGTAGTTTTCAAAAATCATTACTGCCACATATTTGGAAAATGTTCTTAAATGGGAAGACAGTAAATGCTGCCTCACTGTCTTGCAGTGTTTTGCCCTCATGAAGCTTACATTCTAATGTACTTTAATCAGAAGTCAGCTAGAAAGGTGCTAGAGGTGTTTTTCTGATTTATTTTAATCTGTATACAGCCTCCTTCCAAAAAGTGTAAAGCAACATAGACCTTTGATAGATGCAGATCTTCCATTGGCATTTTCATCTGCTCATGAACATCAAACTACTTCTCACTTAAATTAGTTTGTATTAATTTGCTGAGGCATGGGCTGAGTCCTGTGCATAGTCAGT